ACCACATGCAAGTGGCCCATGCGCCCTTGATTTATTCTTGAATACGGTGATCAAAATGAATTTCAAGGACAAGTCCAATGACCGCACATGGATTTCACTTTGTGATTGTCCTATGGCACATACATGGAGAGTCAATCGGTCAAACAATATGCCATGTACTCCCTCCGTCCTTATTTCCAACTTTGTTGGAGGGTCAAACTATCTTAAAGTTTGACCGAGTTTGTGTAAAAATATATCAATGTTTGTGAAACCAAATAGATAAATAAAAATATATTTTATCATGAATGTGATGCTACTAATTTCATGGCATAAATGTTAATATATTATTATATAAATACGGGTAAATATATAAAAAAATTGACTTTCCAACGAAGTTGAAAATACATTCTTTCAAGAACATGGGGAGTAGGCAGGATACGGAGCCAAAGCATACATGGTGACCGCGGGTGCTCACTGATGTGACTTTTGTTCCTGTATTTCGGGTATTCCTATGTCCAGTGACCGAGATAAAACTTAGGAACGAGTCGAGTGACCTCTGGTGAATTTGAATATGATGGTTCAGAGCTTGGTGTAAAGAAAATGGGTATGCCCGCAAAATAAAATTAAAATGGGTAGCCAAAATGTTTTTTGACATATTCTAAAAGAATTCTTTTACTAGCATTACGATGTTTCCTTGTTTTGCAAAAAAAAAGCAAAAAGGCTGAAAGACCATGTGAGCTTACACACATACCCTGCAGGTATACCAGGCTAGACCTGGCCATCCTCCGGGCTGGGCCGGGCCTGACCAAGCCCGAGGTAGAAAATTCAGGCCCGAGCCCGGCCCGGCCCGGCCATCGGGCCTACTTTTCAGACCCAAGCCCCGCCCGTCACAGCAAAAAACACACCGAGCCTCTTCAGTAAATGGCAAAAACAGCGGACCCAGGCCCGGCCCGACCTAATCTTCGGGCTCAAAACCTAGGCCCAGGCCCGGCCCGGGAGCAGCGTCAGGCCGGGCGGCCATGGCCAGGACTATACCAGGCAAATTCCAGATGTGTGTCAACCCTCCCTCAGGGGCAAATCCGTCACTCTAACAAGTTCCCAGACTTTATTTTACTGCTCTACTCCAAAACAAGCGCCCGGTAACTGACGCTTCTCTTAAATGCACGCCAAATTTGCACACGCAGTTTCCACCGGCCCGCAGTGCCCGCACAGTTCTCCTCTCTACAGCACAGGCACAGCGCCACTGCCACCGCTGCCGCGTCCGTCATCCCCACACACATGTAACCCGCCCGACACTCTCCACCCGCACACACACACAGACAGTACGCAGCTCAGTCGCGGGCGCGCAGCGAGATCGCCACGCTCCCCTCCACTCTCCCAGCGAGCGCGGAGCGGCGGTCCGGCCGGCGCGGGCTCCGCCCTCTCCCTCTCCCCGCGCAATGCCGGCCGCTTCCGGCGCAGATCGGGCCGGCTTCTCACCCTCCTCCTCCTCCTCCTCCCGGCCGCCGCTCTCGATCGGCGCGTGACTTCACTCCGGGTGGGCGGAGGACGGCTGGATCTTGCGGCGGACGGCGCGAGGGAGGGACGGACGGAAGGACGCGCTCCGCCGTCTCCCGATTTCCGCCTGCCAGGAGAGGTTTGCGGCCCTCTCTCTCTCTCCCTCTCTCCTCGCGTGGCCCCTTCCGTTTCTCCGCCGTGTTTTCTTGGATACAGCGAGCGACGCCTTCGGATGCCTCCAAACCTCTCCTGCCGAGATTGGAACCCGGGCTCGATCCGCCCCCCCGGGTTTTAGGAGTGGAATAGATTAGCGCAATGTAGTTCGTTGGCCGTTGTTTGGTCTGCGCTTGATAAGTGCTCTGTTGTCGCTAGTTAAGCTTTATCTTTGTTTCTTTAATGCCAAAGAGTTGGGTAGTAATTCCTTCTCTAGATGATGAGTTGGTGATTTTCTTTCTTTTCTTTTCAACATACTGGCAAATCTCTACTGCTGTAATTCTGTCTACAGAAAATTATCGACCGCCTGCACTCCACTCGGTTCACGGTCAGGTGGATGATGCGTGTAGGCCGTGCCAGCGTAGGTAGCCCATGCAGCCATGAACACTTGCATTGATTTATACCAGCCGGCCAGCCCCCACCGTCCCTCCAAAAAGATCAAAGACCCTACTTTCCTTCCTCTCCTTTCGTTTCTCGCTTTCTCTCATCCACCGGAGAGCTTTACCCTAGCCCTAGGCCCCCTGCCTTTTAGTGCCTGTGCTGTTTCTTTTGGTAAGCATCTACTCCCTCTGTAAACAATCATAGGACGTTTTAGATAGTGATCTAAAGCGTCTTATAATCGTGTACAGAGGGAGGAGTACTAATTGAGAACGCAACGGTAACATGAATTCAGATGTGGATCATGTAAGGTTCGGTGAGTACGCTGGTACTGGTGGTAGTGTGGTGTGGTACACTTAAGGGGATCACCTGCCTCCACAAAAGGGAATCTGGCAAAGTTTCCTCCGGGAGCCTCGTTGAAACAAGTTCTTGGCATCGTTTGTCCACTATTTTTTAAATTTATGATTGTTTGCTAGTCCTAAGCTAATGTGCGTAATTTGGGTTCTGCTTTATAAAAAGGAGGCCAATGAGTGATATGAGCCGGGCAGTGTGCTGTTGTCACATGCACATTATCTCAACTGCCCCCCGTTGAAATTTGAGAACCAATAAGAACCAGTCAGCTTGATGGTGGGTCTTATGGCTTAGAGTCTGAGGAGACTAGAGGAAGAGACAAATGGAGCCTATGAGAGGGGACCCTACTATGTAGTAGTTGGCAAATATGAGGTGTCTTGCATAGAATGCCTCACCATGGAAGCATTTCTCCCCTGGATCATTCTATTGGCTTATTCTGTTACTTAAGTATGCGATTGCACCAGCTTCTGTTCTGATCGTTGCAATTCCAGTTGCACTGCAAAGCGAACAATTTCTGGTTATGCCTAATGATAGCTAAGGTAGGTACAAACAGGAGAGTTCTTAAATGCTGCCCCAGAACTCTCAAGAACATTATCGTGTTGGAGGAGGTATGCTATTATTTGGCCAAATACAGAGCCGATATGCAAGTTTGGTCTGTCAAAGCCCTGTATATGTGTACTATTTGTTATCTGGCCGATGAACCCGTCTTTGGATGATCTAAAATGGCATTGATTTTAAAGCCATGAACATGCAGATGCCAGTATGCAACCCATATACTGTTAATCAAAGAGAACATTTTCAGTATCTCACTTATTGAGCTCCAAGTTCTTCTGAAAACAAGCTACCATGGTAGATTGTTTTCTACAACTCGTTATGATAGAGTAGGGGGGGAAATCCACTATTACTCCTTCCATACTTCTATTTTTGTATATCTCTTGAGCATATTTTCTAATTCTCAGGCAGTTAGTGCCAAAAGTATATTTAGGTGCAAAGTTTATGCTTCATGTTCTATATTCTGAATTCCTTGGTTCACCACTTTTTTGGGACCTTCCTTTTACATGTACTATCTATTATTGCCTCGATGTTTTGTCGGCCACTTTCACTTACCTTTTCTTTTTCTCTCATGCTAGAAGAGTGAAGAGCTGATGAGAAAGCTTGGAGTACAGAGTTGAAATCTATTGGCTTCCAGCAAGTTCGAACAATGCAGCATCTTACACTTGCAGCATCTCTGTCTGCTGCTGTTCTCTTTGCATGCATCCTGTATGCTGAAAGTGCCGATCTGAACTCCGACAAGCAGGCTCTTCTTGCATTTGCTGCATCCCTGCCCCATGGCAGGAAGCTCAACTGGAGCTCCACAACACCTGTCTGCACTTCTTGGGTTGGAGTGACATGCACACCGGACAATAGCCGTGTACACACACTACGGTTACCTGCAGTAGGACTCTTTGGCCCAATACCCTCGGATACGCTTGGCAAGCTTGATGCCCTGGAGGTGTTGAGCCTCAGGTCTAATCGCCTTACTGTTGACCTCCCTCCTGATGTAGGATCTATTCCTTCTCTTCATTCCCTCTACCTGCAGCATAATAATCTGTCTGGAATCATACCAACTACACTTTCATCCAGCCTAACATTCCTAGATCTGTCCTACAACACTTTTGATGGGGAAATCCCATTGAGAGTACAGAATCTCACTGGACTTACTGCAATCCTTCTCCAGAACAACTCTCTTTCTGGACCCATCCCTGACTTGCGTCTCCCCAAATTGAGGCATTTGAATATGAGCAACAACAACCTCAGTGGTCCAATACCACCTTCCTTGCAGAAATTCCCAGCTAGTTCATTCTTAGGGAATGCTTTTCTGTGTGGGTTACCATTAGAACCATGTCCTGGAACCGCGCCTTCTCCTTCACCGACACCACCACCATCAGTGCCCAGCAAACCCAAGAAGAGCTTCTGGAAAAGGATCAGGACAGGTGTTCTAATTGCAATTGCTGCTGCAGGAGGGGTATTGTTGCTTCTCTTGATTCTTGTAGTCTGTATATGTATTTTCAAGAGAAAGAAACACGCAGAACCAACCGCAGCTTCGTCATCCAAAGGAAAAGCTATTGCAGGTGGAAGGACAGACACCCCTAAGGAAGACTACAGCAGTAGTGTTCAGGAGGCAGAGAGAAACAAACTGGTTTTCTTCGAGGGTTCTTCATATAACTTTGACCTGGAGGATTTGCTGAGAGCTTCGGCTGAAGTACTTGGAAAAGGAAGCTTTGGAACTACCTACAAGGCTGTTCTTGAGGATAGCACCACAGTTGTGGTCAAGAGATTAAAGGAGATGGTGGTGGGGAAGAAAGACTTTGAACAGCAGATGGAGATAGTTGGCAGGATTGGCCAGCATCAGAATATTGTTCCGCTGCGTGCTTATTATTACTCCAAAGATGAGAAGCTACTGGTGTATGACTATGTCCCAGCTGGTAGCCTTGCTGCTGTTTTGCATGGTATGTTCTTTGTTTCACCTGTTTTATTTGCAATCAGTTGCCTATTAGTGCTTATGAACTTCTAGTGGTCTGGCCTATTCAAAATGTTTCTCCGCATTGAAGCGAGGATTGGTAACTCAGACTTAACTGTTGGCACTAGTCGGCTACAAGCATTTCCAAAACTTGGTTGGAATTCATACTGTACACACTTTGTAAGTCACAGAGTGATTTGGAATGCTATTAGTGGGGGTGGCATAATGCTAGTTAATATGCTGAATCCTTGCGCTTTGTCCTTTTCTCTAAAATTTCTGTTATAATTCTGGTCACTCTCTCTTAAGATGAATCCTCCAATTTCTGTAAATAAACTGATAGCCATTAACCTTCTAGATATATGAATTTATTTTGCCTTTAACATTGTTGTTAAGCATTTGCAGACTGCAGTCAGATTGTGGAACTTCCTCTTGTTTCTCCTAGTTAGTGTTCCCTGTGCCACTGAACTCAACTGAGATTTAATAGTCTACTTTCACCCACAGTAGCTTATGCCAGCGGCAGAAATCCTGGTTGATAATATTTAGTGTCCATGGTGTCTGTTGACTGTTGAAATGAATGACATTTGCTGCGGTTGACTTTCAGGGAACAAAGCTACTGGAAGAGCTGCACTGGACTGGGAGACGAGAGTAAAGATATCTCTCGGCATGGCTCGTGGACTCGCTCATCTTCACGCTGAGGGGAGCGGGAAGTTCATCCACGGCAACCTGAAATCGTCGAACATCCTTCTGTCACAGAACCTGGACGGCTGCGTCTCCGAATTCGGCCTGGCACAGCTCATGACCACCCTACCTGCCCCTGCGCGGCTCATCGGATACCGTGCGCCGGAGGTCCTGGAGACGAAGAAGCCGACCCAGAAGTCCGACGTCTACAGCTTCGGCGTGCTGCTCCTGGAAATGCTGACCGGAAAGGCCCCCCTGAGGTCCCCCGGCCGCGAGGACTCCGTTGAGCACCTGCCGCGGTGGGTGCAGTCCGTGGTCCGGGAGGAGTGGACCGCGGAGGTGTTCGACGTGGACCTGCTGCGGCACCCCAACATCGAGGACGAGATGGTGCAGCTGCTCCAGGTGGCCATGGCGTGCGTGGCCGTCGCGCCGGACCAGCGGCCGAAGATGGACGAGGTGATCAGGCGGATCGCCGAGATCCGGAACTCGTACTCGGGGCCGGCGAGCCCGCCGGAGGAGACCGCCGCCCAGGCGCCGTGAGGGCGTGTGGAGATAAAAAGAGTCCCATTGTGTTTAGCATGCAGAGTTATTAGCTAGCTAAGCTAAGCTAGGTTGCATAGTTACTGGGTTGGTTATATAGATAGCTTTGAGCGAAAGTTGATAGCCGCTTGCTTGGTTGATTAGTGGAGTGCGGTTTCTGTTGATCCCTGATTCTTTCTTCGCTTCGGGTAATTTTTCTGTGCCGTTTTCGGAGTAGTGAGGCTACTGATCTGGATATCTGATGGCACTGATGGTGTTTGTGTTGCCCTGTAATTTGGCATGCTTTTCTTCCCAGAATGTGATTAATGGGATTCATTGAGTTGATATTCCCCCCTGTTTGTCACCTGTCAGATTTCTAGTTTGGCGTTCGTGGAAGATTTGATTCGTGTGCCGCAGTTGCTGGCTGCCCTGGTTACGAGCAGGCAGCAACAACGTCGACGGCCTTGCGGCTGCGCTCGCGGCGTTGGTTTTCCGCCGTGGGCACGCTCTAGAGCACGCGGGGACGGCGCGCCCTCCGTCGTGGCCGCCCAGCTCGGCACGCGCCTTTTCCAGTCTGGAGCACGCCGATCGGGGCGGAGGACACCGCGTTCTTCAGTCCGCGTTCCTCCGTCGGCGTGAATCTGGCCGGTGTGTGCGGTGCGGCACGTGTTAGGAGCGCGGGCGCGCACGTCGAGCTGGCGAATGCCAGCCACTCTTCGGCCGGACGGACGGGCCGTGCCCCCGCCGCGCGGCAATCAAAGCTCTTCTCTTCTTCCCCAGAGTACGGGACCAGCTAGGCAGCTACCGCTATCTCCGGCGGGTCCACGGTTTGCAAGTGCGACGGGGATGGGCTCCGCTCCGCTGTCCACTGCACGGGCCACGGCCGCCGGCCGCGCGTCTCGGCCAGGTAATACAGTAACATGGGGGATGATGATGGATGGATGATCGCCCTCATTCGCCGGGACCGGGGAGGTCCTGTTGGCGATTTCACGTGGCGGTGTCTGTTGCGGTTGGGTGTGGTGGACAGCCTGGGCAAGGGCGACCGACACGAGGGGCGTGTGCGCTACCGTACCGGTATTGCATACACTTCTTCATCCAATCTGGCTATGCAAATGCAACCTTAAATGCATCATCTGCATGTTATTTGGTTGTCTGCATGCCCTCTTGCCTGCACGGGCAGAATCATACTGGCTGGTGTTTGGTTGCCTGCATGTTAGTGGACAAACTCAAGGCATGGTGTTTTGGTTGTATGCAACGCCTGGTGTGTGGTAACCTCTTTGGCTAGTTGGTGAGATTACCAACACACTTCGGCACAACCATATAGCACACATCATAAGCACAACAGAGTACAAACAGAGCATCAACTAGTATAATTCAGATATAAGCAGTATCACACTTCATAACAGTTCAACGCATAAACCATAAACATGTTCAAAGCAGTCTCGATAGTACGCTGGAAAGATGTGGCCCAACCCTACTCATTGGCGGCGAAGGCTTCGTTGTGCTTCCCGCACTTGTTGACGACCTCAATACCATCGTTATCGAAGATATGACCTTGAGGGTGTCGGGAGTGAGAAGCTTGAACGTCACCATGTAGCCAATCTTGATCTGATGAACGGCTGCGTGGGTGGCCCAACCCTGATCCAGGGTCACCCTACCGTTCATCAGCTTGACCGTCACCTTCCAGGAGCAGTCGGTGTTGTTCCTGAGCTTGAACTCCGTTGGTACCACGACGAAGTGCTTGGTGAAGTCCAGGGGCATGGGATGCACTCAAGCTTCGGTGCAAGGATGACCTTGCAGAAGTGAGTTGGGCCATCCTCCTGATGATAGTGGCCGTAGTTGCGGCGCTTGTTGCTGGGGGGCTCCTCCATGCCCTCGTCGTGCCCATCTCATTACTCTCCTTGATCTGCACACAATTCATGGAGTCAAGCACAACACAGAGTTCATGGCTAATTGAAGAGCATGTAGTTAAAACAGCATGACTGTCACTCTTCTCCTCCTCTCCATCCCCCTATATTTACTCACCCTGTCCACCATTACTTACCCACCCCCTCTCTTCTCTCACTGTCAACCTTCCTCCTCCCCATCGCCATGAGCTCTAGCTCCAGCTCCAACGCCAACCCCTTCCCTTGGGGTATTGTCTGGAGGGCATTCTTCCTCGGGTGGTCGGCTGGTGACCGCACCAAGTTCGAGAGCACCATGGAGGTGTGATCGAACTTCGGCTCCATGCCGGACATGCAGAACGAATTTAATGCAGTGCTCATGAAGACCACTAAAGAAGAGTTGAAGACGCTGATTCCTGACCCAACGAAGGGCGCGGTGGCAGTTGACATCATTCGCCGGGCCCTGAATCAGGCCGTCTCCGACAACGCTAAACAGAGGAAGAAGTGGTGCAAGTACAAGACCTACTGGGCTCCAAATGATCGCCGTGCCGCAGTGTATTGGGAGACGGCTATCGCGCCGCCGGCGGTCATCGGTGGGGAGCCTAAGGAGGAGGAAGAAGAAGCGGTGCACATGCCAGCGAGGGTGCCAGAGCGAGGCCGTCGTGTTGGGGAACGTAGCAATAATTCAAAAAAATTCCTACGTGTCACCAAGATCAATCTAGGAGATGCTAGCAACGAGAGAGAGGGAGTGCATCTTCATAACCTTGAAGATCGCTAAGCGGAAGCGTTACAAGAACGCGGTTGATGGAGTCGTACTCGCGGCGATTCAAATCGCGGAAGATCCGATCTAGCGCCGAACGGACGGCGCCTCCGCGTTCAACACACGTACAGCCCGATGACGTCTCCCATGCCTTGATCCAGCAAGGAGGAGGGAGAGGTTGAGGAAGAAGGTCCAACAGCAGCACGACGGCGTGGTGGTGATGGAGTGGCAGTTCTCCGGCAGGGCTTCGCCAAGCTCAAGCGGAGGAGGAGAGGTATTGGAGGGGAGGGGGCTGCGCCAGGTGCAAGGGTATGGCCGCCCTCCCACCCCTCCAGTATTTATAGGTGGGAAGAGAGGGGGGGCCGCCCCCCTAGATCCCATCTAGGGTTGGGGGCGACGACCAAGGGGGGAAGGAGTGCCTCCCAAGTCAAGTGGAGGCCCTCCCCTTTAGGGTTTCCCCTCTCCCATGCGCATGGGCCTTGGGGGGCTGGTGCCCCTGGCCCATTAAGGCTAGGTAGCCCCCTACAGCCCATGCTGCTGTATTGGACGTGGTGGAACATTTTCTGGACCTCCGGACCCCTCCGGAACCTTCCAGAAGCTTCCCGGTACAATACCGGAAAAAGCAAACTTTTCCTGGAACCCGAACAACAACTTTTCATATATAAATCTTTACCTCCGGACTATTCCGGGACTCCTCGTGACGTGCGGGATCTCATCCGCGACTCCGAACAACATTCGGTAATCACATACAAGTCTTCCTAATAACCCTAGCGTCATCGAACCTTAAGTGTGTAGACCCTATGGGTTCGGGAACCATGCAGACATAACCGAGACAACTCTCCGGCCAATAACCAACAGCGGGATCTGGATACCCATGTTGGCTCCCACATGTTCCACGATGATCTCCTCGGATGAACCACGATGTCGGGAATTCAATCAATCCCGTATACAATTCCCTTTGTCAATCGGTATGTTACTTGCCCGAGATTCGATCGTCGGTATTTCAATACTTCGTTCAATCTTGTTACCGGTAAGTCACTTTTACTCGTTCCGTAAACACATCATCCCGTGATCAACTCTTTGGTCACATTGAGCTCATTATGATGATGTCCTACCGAGTAGGCCCAGAGATACCTCTCCGTCACACGGAGTGACAAATCCCAGTCTCGATTCGTGCCAACCCAACAGACACTTTCGGAGATACCCGTAGTGTGCCTTTATAACCACCCAGTTACGTTGTGATATTTGGCACACCCAAAGCATTCCTACGGTATCCGGGAGTTGCACAATATCATGGTCTAAGGAAATGATACTTGACATTAGAAAAGCTTTAGCAGACGAACTACACAATCTTGCGTTATGCTTAGGATTGGGTCTTGTCCATCACATCATTCTCCTAATGATGTGATCCCGTTATCAATGACATCCAATGTCCATGGTCAGGAAACCATGACCATCTATTGATCAACGAGCTAGTCAACTAGATGCTTACTAGGGACATGTTGTGGTCTATGTATTCACACATGTATTATGGTTTCCGGATAATACAGTTATAGCATGAACAATAGACAATGAACAAGGAAATACAATAATAACCATTTTATTATTGCCTCTAGGGCATATTTCCAACACGTCGTACCTGGCAGATCGACCTCGACTCCGCCGAGGACGACAACGACCCGCCGGCCCGCACGGCGATGAAGAAGGAGATGAAAGCCAGCGGCTTGACCAGTCGCTCCGCACGCCGGTGACGGTCGCCGCGGTCAGCCGATGTCCGTTGTGTACCCCCTATCCCCCAATCCCCCAATCCCCCTTCTGCATTCCGATCTTGCATGTATGAACTCGTATGAACTGCTATGAACTAGTATGAACTACCCCTGTGCTTATCTACCTCTATTCCCCATTCCCCTGCGCTATGGATCGAATCTAGCGTGCATGTCGAAGAGAGAGAAGTGCTTACCGCCATTGATGGAGTCCGGTGGTCTTCTTCCTCTGCTTTGATCCGCCGCCGTCGGTGATGGAGTCCGGTGGTCTTCTTCCTCCGCTCCGATCCGCCGCCGCCGGTGAGAGTTGGGACAGTGGGGAGAGGGAGCAGTGAGGGGCGGTGAGGCTAATAACTGCCGGCGCTTCGGGAAACAACGCGGCTTCTCGAGCGTGGCCGCACGCGTGCAGCAGCCGCCGCCCACGTGCACCGCTCGGGCCTGGCCCTGGAGAAACTGCCGATTCGTGCGTTCCCAGTGAGCCAGGCCCAGTGGTGCTCAGGCCCAATAATGTATGCGGGTTACCAAACAGGTTGGATACTTCCCGCGCGGGCCTGGTCGAGGCCTATGCAGGCAACCAAACACACCCGAGGTGTTCCTGCATACGCCCTTCTAGCT